GCTCAGGGGCAGGAATTTTTTTAATTTATTTTTACTTCATTTATTTTTATTTAATTAATTTTGTTACATTTAACCATACATTTAAAGTTTACCATTGAAAAAAGAAACAAATTCCATGTTAAGTTTAAAAATTTTTTTTAAATCATTTACTTATTTATTTATTTGTTTGTTTGTTTTGGGAGGGGACCCCCCCGGCGGGCCACACGGGCCTTGTATTTGACACATGTGATTTAATGCAATCATATGACAGATTAGGGTTAGTATCTTGTGTAAACCACAGGTTTTACCTTTTGATGGAGAAATAACCTTTTAATGTGTGAAGATACAGTTTCATGGCTCAGAAAAAGACCTTTAAACCACACTGACCTACATGTCTGAAGGGAATTCCCCGTCCTTTGTTGACATTTCTTACATCCTCTTTTCCTTCCTGTTTTCTGGCTTTTATCAAGTGTAGTTGTGTTTGAAACTAGTCAGCTGTTTTTTATGAAACTTCAGACTTATGACAACTTCTTCTTTGATCACATGTTTTGTTTTTGTTTTTTCCAGGGTGCAGCAGGGAGAAAGGGCGTTAAGGGAGAGAGAGGACAAAAGGTATCATATCAAGTGACAACATGGTTCTGCTTTTTGTGGCCTCAGTTACACTTTTCTTTTAAACAGCTGTGGGGATTAAATATTGACTTTCTTCCTTTTTTCATTGTTTAATCATCAGGGAGACAAAGCTGATCGTGGCGATAAAGGACAGGTGATCACGTCACTCACATACATCTAAATAGATGTGTTTTGTTTGTGGAATCTGGCCAATAAGCTTACTAAAGATCTTTAATAGAGCCCAAAAACATGTCTAAAATAGACCTTTGTGGCTTAATTACTTGATAACCTGTAGGTTTGGAATTATTATTATAATAAATGTTTGAATAAATTAAGAATAAAGATTCAGTTTCAGCAAAAATATTCACAAAATAAATTATCTGGTCTGAATCATAAAAGTCCCATTTTGTTTTGATTAATAGTTTTAGATACAGTCAATTACAAGAAAACAATAACTCACCTCCCCCAGCAGTTATTATATAATTTACTCTATAGGCCACTTTTATTGCGTAAAGTAAAAATAGAAATTAATTTTCAGAATAAAAATAGTCTATTTTTTTTCCTTTAACTCTGTTACTTCCTATTTTTTCTTCAAAGAGAGGGCCAAAAGGCGCAGTGGGTCGACCCGGCACTCCAGGCCCCGTAGGACCACCCGGCATCCCAGGGGCCAGAGGTGACCGAGGTCCAATCGGTGATCCAGGTGGTAAAGGTCGAGCAGGACCTAAAGGAGTCCAAGGTCCATCTGTGAGTAAGATCTGCATGAAGGAGGGAACTTAAAGACTGGACCTCCTTGGAGCAGAAGTTTTAATGATACAGTTCATCGCAGTAAATGAAATAAATCTGTTTTAGTGACGAAACAAGAAAATTAAAGGAACTGTACAACCTGTAGATCATGGTGGATTTGAAATGGACTTACTGAAAAACATTTAATTAAAAACAACAAGCATTCTTTATCAGTGATGCTGAGAAGCTAAACGTTGTAGTTTGGGTCTTTCAGGGTCCTGGTCTGACAGATGAGCAGGTCTTGCAGCTCTGTAAGGATGTGGTCAAGGCCCAGCTCTCCCAGTACGCCCCCTCCATCCAAGCCAAGTGCGCTCAGGGATGTCCCATCAACGACCGGACTCTAATTGGACCTCCGGGAGTCCCGGGACCACCAGGACCACCTGGCAAAGCTGTAGGTTTATCTCTAGGTTCATGTAAATTGATTGAAAGACTCCAGATCTTTGTAAAACAATCATGATGTTTGATTTCCTGATTAGTTTTTTGCCAGTTTGATAGAACTGCATAATGCATCTAATAGACTGATAAAGATTTGGAAAGTGTTTTGCAGATCAGATATATAAATTTTTGAAGTGCCCATTAAACTTTAAATAAAGAAGGTGAATTGTCTGTGCTTCTGTCAGGGTAAAGCAGGAAAAGCTGGAGAAAAAGGATCAAGAGGTGCTCAAGGTGACAGAGGGACAGAAGGACAGAAAGGAGCTCAGGGTGAACGAGGTAAATTCACCTGTTTATATTAAACTCAAAATGTGTCAGGAGGTTTTAGTTTAATGATTCAGACCCTAGTTGTGTTGTGTTCTGGGTCTGATCAAAAAAACTGAAAAGTGAACCCAGTTATTTTCTCATTTCCATCCAAATGTGCCTCTGAATAATCTGAATAATCTCATGAAGAAGGTGAGTTTATATTTGTGAAGTAAACACAGCAGGTTTCTTTATATGAATCTATTTAATCAATTTTTTTAATCACAATTTATTTGCAGATTTGTAGTAAGTATTCTTCTTACTTGATTTTTTTTTGTTTTATTTTCTTACTGGCTAACATGTTAAACTAAGATGTTTTAGACGTACCAAACTGCATATTTAAACTAAATTCTGTTTTAGGACACATTTAAGCAACATTTTCTCCTCACATCTAAATTTATATATTTAGTAGGGGTGCAACAATACATGTACCTGTATCGAACCGTTCAGTTCAGTGCTTTAGGTTCAATACACACTTGTATCCATCAATACAGATTTTTAAAATTTATTTTATCAACTTGTCTTCTGAAGATGCTCTGTGTTGAAGGATCAGTGGATCTGTGTTCGGCTACTCCACCCAGGCTGCATTTTTGAGCACAGATCCACTGACAAACCTGCTGTTTCAGCAACATTTAATTAAAAAACTGTACTTTTGAGGTTAAACAAAGGTTTATACTTAATTTATATAAATTACAAGTTAAAGAGGGCATGGAAATTTCTCTTTTTTATCGAAAATATATCAGACCGTGAGACTAAAGTATTGAACCGAACCGAATCGTGAATTTTCTGTATCGTTGCACCCCTTATATTTAGTTCTCCTGTTTGTGGTTTTGAGTAATGACTTTACCCAAGAGCTCCATGTTTATTTTAACAGGTCAGAAGGGACCTAAAGGCATCACCGGTGATCCGGGCAAAGGCCTGCCAGGATCCGACGGACCACAGGGACTCAGAGGTGAGATAATCTTCATCCTGCTTCCTGATATTATGTAAAGCTTTAACATGTATTTTATATAAATTACTATGTGTTTATCTCTTGTTATTGGAATTTTAGGGTCTTTTGTGAGTGTTAACAGGTGTTTTTTCCACCTTGTCAACAAACAAACAGGAGTTTAATGACTATAATTTTGATGCGTTAAATAGAGAATGTTTGTTTTTTTAAATTTGCATTTCTGTGATATTTTCCAGGTCTTCCCGGTCCCCCAGCAGAGCCTAAAAACGGGATGGAGGGTTCTCGCGGGCCTCGGGGCTTCCCTGGCCTGGTGGGTCCGCCCGGCATGCTGGGGCTCCCAGGAGTGCCGGGGTTCTGCGAGGCCCGAGACTGCAGCATTCACGCTCCGGTGCTGCGCAAAGAGCAGGGCCTGGTGAAAGGACCCGTCAGTTCAAATGTCTAAACCTGAAAACAAACTCTAAGTACCTCCGGGGGAGGAGAACATGCACAGACTACTTTTAAATCAGAAAAATATTATTTGTGCATTGAAGGTGAGAGTTGAGATCAAACTGTACAGTGTTCAGCTTCTGTGCAGAATCTTCCATCAGAAAAAGGCTTTAAGAAATCAAACGTCCTTGTAAAAAACTGATTTTTAATGTAGAGTTAGACAGAATTTAGTTGATTGAACTACACATTTTTTCTACTCATATTTTTTCTTTTCCCTCCAAAGAATAAATAAATAATTGTATATACTGTATTATGTATTTGTTTTCGATAAACTGTCTGATTTTTGAACAGTACAAGTCTGAATTTTTTCTGACTCATATACAGCGGGTAAAATAAGTATTGAACACGTCACCTTTTTTCTCAGTAAATATATTACTAGAGGTGCTAATGACATGAAATTTTCACCAGATGTCGGTAACAACCCAAGTGATCCATACATACAAAGAAATCAAACCATAAATGTCCAGAAATGAAGTTATTTGTAATAATGTGGAATGGCACAGGGAAAAAGTATTGAACACACTTACTGAAATTTATCTAATACTTTGTACAAAAGCCTTTGTTGTCAATGACAGCTTCAAGACGCCTCCTGTATGGAGAAACTAGTGGCATGCATTGCTCAGGTGTGATTTTGGCCCATTCTTCCACACAAACAGTCTTCAAATCTTGAAGGTTTCGTGGACCTCTTCTATGAACTCTGATCTTTAGTTCTTTCCATAGATTTTCTGTTGGATTCAGGTCAGCTGATTGGCTGGGCCATTCCAGCAGCTTTAGTTTCTTTCTCTGAAACCAACTGAGAGTTTCCTTGGCTTTGTGTTTGGGCTCATTGTCTTGCTGAAATGTCCAGCCACGTTTCATCTTCATCATCCTGGTAGATGGAAGCAGATTTTTATCAAGAATGTCTCTGTACATTTTTCCACTCATCCTTCCTTCAATTATTTGAAGTTTGCCAGTACCATATGCTGAAAAACAGCCCCACACCATGATGTTCCCACCTCCAAACTTCACTGTTGGTATGGTGTTTTTGGGCTGATGTGCAGTGCCATTTGACCTCCAAACATGATGTGTATTCTGGCATCCAAACAGTTCAATGTTGGTCTCATCTGACCAGACTATATTCTCCCAGTATCACACAGGCTTGTTTAAAAGTTGTGCAGCAAACTTTAAAGGAGCTTCAACATGCTGTTTCTTCAGCAGTGGAGTCTTGCGTGGTGAGCGTGCATACAGGCCATGGTGGTTCAGTGCATTACTTATTGTTTTCTTTGAAACAAACGTACCTGCTAATTCCAGGTCTTTCTGAAGCTCTCCACAAGTGGTCCTTGGCTCTTGGACAACTCTTCTAATAATTCTTTTCACTCCTCTGTCAGAAATCTTGTGAGGAGCACCTGGTCGTGGTCGGTTTATGGTGAAATAATGTTCTTTCCACTTCTGAATTATGGCCCCAACAGTGCTCACTGGAACCTTCAGAAGTTTAGACATTCTTCTGTAACCGATGCCATCATTATGCTTTGCAACAATGAGGTTGTGAAGGTCTTGAGAGAGCTCTTTACTTTTACCCATCATCAGATGGTTCTTGTGTGATACCTGGCCATCATTTGGGACTGAACCAGCTGATATTAACTTGCACTGACAAGGGGCAGGCTTGTTTTCTAATTACTGAGAGAGTTCAGCTGATGTCTTGGCTTTCCATGCCTTTTTACACCTCCCTTTCTTCATGTGTTCAATACTTTTTCCCTGTGCCATTCCACATTATTACAAGTAACTTCATTTCTGGACATTTATGGTTTGATTTCTTTGTATGTATGGATCACTTGGGTTGTTACCGACATTTGGTGAAAATTTCATGTCATTAGCACCTCTAGTAATATATTTACTGAGAAAAATGGTGACGTGTTCAATACTTAGTTTACCCGCTGTATGCTTCTGTATTCATTTAAATGACACATCACTGTGTTAACCTGGTAAACAGATTACTAAATCTTTACCAACACTGTTTTTATTAGTGATGTCCCAATACTGTTATCAGTATCTGTACCAGTATCGGTTTTATTTCAGATACCAGCATTTTTACAAGTACTCGTACTAATACAAAGTGCCCACAATACTCGAAACCAATACCAATACTGTTATAGATATTACGTTCAGTATGTTACAGTTTACATATCAAATAAAAAGTTTGTCAATTCCATGTTTAAGATTATACAAAGAAAGATTTTTTTATTACATTTATTTTATTGCTACGGTAAACATGCTGTATATTTGAGTTGATCCAGTCAGAGGGAAAACCAACTTGATCTTAATAAAAATAATGATTTTAAAGTAATTGTGTAAGTTCTAACTCAGTAAGTGTACTCATATCGGCAAGTAACCAAACTGAAATACTCGTACCACAGAAAAGCTACTATCAAGAACACCCCTAGTTTAAACAGGTAAAATGTAAATCTTAGTCTTTTTTAGAAATGTTAACTGTCTGAAACAATTACATCCTCATAAAACTTTGTAATAAAAAATACACCTTTTAGCACAAAGTAGTTCTCATGTTATTGTGGCTGCATTTTAGGTTTTCATATCAAGTCAAATAAATCTCAGAGTCCAGTGGAAGCCTGTAAACTTTATTTTATTGCTTCTCCTTTAAGTCAGAAAATATATCAACAACAGCATCTTTGCAGCACATACTTTTTCTCCATATGAACACAGTTTTTGGACACAGCTGTATTTAAAAAAAAATACATAATCTGGAGGTCATTATGGGAAATACTTGGCAATGATTGAAGGCAGTACAGAGGTAAAAAAAAATTGTGCTTATTTCCCTTTTTTTAAGTCACATCAACAGGGGAACAAAAAATTTACAGAGGGAGAGACGTAATGGCACAAAGATGGAAAAAAGCACCACGATTTATAGTTTGTATAACACCTTTGTGTGTTTATGTTTGGCCCTTTTGTTTTATTGAATTTAATGCCCAGTTTAATGCCCGTCATGATGCCTGTAGTTCTAAAGTTGACATTCATTTTAAAGCTAGGGGAAGGTAAAAGTAACAATACTTGGGTGATTTCAACAGAACCTGAGATACTTATGGAGCAAGAAAGAGCATCATTAGTGTTTTAACTGATAACTAACCTGATGATCAAATGTTTTGTTAGACTTTGTTAAAATGGCTGCTTGGAAATTATTCATGAGGCCCTGTTCACAGTGTTTAATATAGTTTAGGAAGCAATCTGAAATACAGTTCATTTGAAAAGCAAATTTGGTGATTTCTAAAACTCCTATGGTCTAATAAATAAAGAACAAACAAACACAAACCCAACAAAGTGCGCCCAGCAGGTTTAAAAAGAGACAACTGGGGTCGGATTTATAAAACTGGCGAACGCACAATTTGAGCCCAGAAACTTGTGTGCGCCACTTTTCACGCCAAGGTTGTGATTTATAAAATCCAAACGACGTGAAAATGTGCGGTGCCTCATGCCAGCTTTGACCCATGCGTACGCTCATTTTGGAGACGTGAAACTGCGACACAGATGGTGAAGTGAAGAATTAGAGCCATACTGTGTCATGATCACTGTCAGATATTTAATTTACCTTCATAATCAAACTTAGATTTTTATTCAGCTTTATCATCAGCTTTCTGAACAGTAATATTTATGCTTCTGCTGCTGAGCCATGAGGACCTTTGAAATAAAAATAAAAAAAACTTAAATCTTAAATAAAAATTCCCGTGCGCAACTCCCTTCATCTTCTTCCTCCTCAGACGACCCTGACCCACAGACCCCTCCCTGACCCACAGACCCCTCCCTGACCCACAGACCCCTCC